TGCATGACCCTCCCACACACACAGGTAAGACACTCCATTATGTACCATCCAGTCAAAAGGGGCATCATTATATGATGACTTCCTGATTTTACAGTAGAGGAGGAGGAGGTTACCAGTAGCACACTTAATATGGTAATAGAAGCTATTTCTACACTATCACCTCAAACAAAGGAGAAAAGCAAACTTTCCTAGTTTTCAGGGTAAATAGCAGATTGAAAAAAAAAAAATCAAGTAGAGGAGGCAGGAGACCTGCATGGATAAGCAAGGAGCTCCTGGAAAAACTCAAATGGAAGAGGGAAATTTATACTATGTGAATAAAGGGTGTGGTTAAGTGGGAGGACTATAGAAACACTGCCAGGGTGTGTAGAGACTCAACAAGAAAGGCCAAGGCTCTCTTGGAACTTAGTCTGTCTAGGGAGGTGAAAGCTAGTAAGAAATTTTTCGAATGCATCAGTGAGAAAAGGAAGAGAGAGGAAAGACCGAGTCCACTGCTAAACGAGGTGGGAGACATAACAGAGGATGCAGAGATGGCAGAATTGCTGAATGCCTTCTTTGCCTCAGTCTTTACTCCTAAGACCAGCCCTCAGGAACCTCAGTCACTAGAAGTAAGGGACTCATCCTTGCTCATGACAGGGAGGTTGGACTAAATGATCTCTAAGGTCCCTTCCAGCCTAGGCCATTCTATGATTCTATGAATCTATGAAAACTGGAGTGAGGAAGACTCTCCACCAGTCAGTGAGGATTGGGTCAGAGACCTCTTGGAGCAACTGAAAATGCACAAATCCAGAGGCTCTGATGGGGTGCATCCACGTGTGCTGAGAGAGCTGGTTGACATCGTTGCTGAGCCTCGCTCCGTTTCTGAAAAATCATGGAGAACAGGACAGGTACCCGAGGACTGGCAGAAAGCCAATGTCACTTCAGTCTTCAAAAAGGTCAAGAAGGAGGACCCAGGCAACTACAGACCAGTCAGCCTCACCTCCATCCTTGGAAAAATGATGGAGCAGCTCATACTGCAGGCCATCTCTAACCAAAATTCAGAAAAGAAGGTTATCAAGAGTAGCCAGCATGGATTTGCTTCTATGATAGTGTGAGCAAGTGGGTAGATGAAGGGAGAGCAGTAGATGTCACATACTTTGACTTCAGTAAGGCTTTTGATACTGTCTTCTGTAACATTCCTTGCAGAAAAACTCAAGAAATGTGGGACAGATGATTAGACTGAGAGGTGGATTGTGAACTAGCTCAGCAATAGAGTTCAGAGGGTTGTGATCAGCGGCAGAGTCAGGCTGGAGGCCTGTGGCCAGTGGTGTTCCCCAGGGATCAGTGCTGGGTCCACTAATAGGACAAGGAATAATGTGTATAAACTAGAACATGGGAAGTTCCACCTCAACATGAGGAGAACCTTCTTCACTGTGCGGGTGCCGGAGCCCTGGCCCAGGCTGCCCAGAGAGGGTGTGGAGTCTCCTGCTCTGGAGACTTTCCAACCGGCCTGGACGCGTTCCTGTGGGGCTGCCCTGGGTGACCCTGCTCTGGCAGGGGGTTGGACTAGATACCCCTGAGGTACCTCCAACTCCAAACATTCTGCAATTCTATGATACTGATGTTTCATTAGAATAGGTTGAGTGACAACTGATTTCACTGACAGATAAGCATAAAGCTATTCTCAAATAAAAAATTAAAAAATGAAAACAGACTCCTGGTGATGTATCTGTCAGCCAAGACAGCTGGAGAGTTTATAAAGCACCATCTTGCATAAGCCAAATCACTTCAGCAACTCTGCAGTACACGCACACCAAAAAAACCCCAAAGCATGCCATCTAAGAATAAGTATTTATTGCAGGAGCCCATATGCTTATAACATATGCGGATTTTGTTGGGTTCCCGATGCACTTCATCCAAGCAAATCTCTGACCTGGACTCCTAAGTCAGGATGGCACTTCACCAAACGACGGGATTCAGAGCTTTCCAGCTCCACTACCACCACGGAAACTCTACAGCACATCCGCATCTTCCTACTTTCTCAGTGGGCCACATTAACTAAGTGCTAAGTGACTGGGTTATCTTAACCACGTACTTCAGCTTTCAAACTGTAGTTTTCTCTGGTGTCTGCAAAAAATATACTGAAAAGCTACATTTCATATAGGCCATAAACCAATCCAACTAAGAAAGCTTCTAGAAAAGCCCACACATCTACTGGCAAGTTGCCATGCATCTAAAAGGGTTATTGTCCTAAAAACCCTTTTTTTGCCATCTGCTTTAGGACCTCTATGTGCAAAATACAGAACTTACAACAAGAAACCAAATTCTAGAGAGCTATCAGGGACTGCAGGCTAGTTCATCTTCTTAATACTATCAGATGCTGAAAACGCACTTGATATTTGTATGAATAAAAAACATTTTGCTTTGAAAAAGTCAGTCAATACTACCATTTCAGAGACTGAAGTCAAAGCATGAAGAAGCACTTTTGCCCCTTAAAATATTTTATAATTGCTGCTACAATTGTTGACTTTATGAAAAGATGTTTGAGAAATCAGTCTATTCCATGCAGAATTTAAGTCACGCAGAAAGTAACTCTCACATTCAAAATCATACATGGCATAGAAGCATTTAACAAACAGCTTAGCAGATAATCATAAGTGCCAAAAATATGCCCAACATATAAATGACAACCAATCTTTTAACTATTAAAGACAGGCTGGCAGCGTGAGCTGCTTGTTCACTCCCAATCACCCAGATCTGTAAGTGCTGAAAATTGCTGTCAAGTAAGACTGTATTTTGAAGCCTGTAACAGACTGGTAAAAACAGATAGACAAGAGAAGCATCACCTCCAAATCAGTAATATAATAAATTTGTAAGAGAATGACACATCATTTAGTGCTGCAGACATTCTAGATACAAATGTCCAAGCAAGATGACTTGATGTAAGAGGATTAAGCATTTCTAAAGGTAGGCAGTCTATATTTATTTAAGTACCCCCCCTAAAGTTTAAGTTATTTTACTACCTTGAAATCAAGTTGTGTATCCACGTGGGCACAGTTAGCACATAACTGCATTTTCACTTTTGAGCAACATCTATAATGCAGATGCCTCATCTGTGCAAATTCTTTCAGAAAAACACACCAAAAAACGATACGCCATGTTTGGACATTACTCATAGTCTGGAAAGGCTGCAGGCATACTAAAAACATCAGGCCCTTAGGGTAGCATTACAAAGAGATAAATGAGTCCAACAAAGCCAAAATACAGACTGAAATTCAGAATGCCAGCAGGCATTTTGCACGTCAGTGCAACTCTCAGATATTTAGTCCCACTTTAAGGCTAGAAGTAGAGGTTAAGGGCTGCACTTGGAATCTAGGAACTTGGTGTTCCTCAGAACAGGAACATTTTCTTAGATCTATAACTCAGAAGACTCTGTCCACCTAAACAGCTGTTACTTTTTGTTTTTAAATATCTAGCCTTCCACTCTGAAAGATGGAACTTAAGTCATCACCAGTGGCTGCAAAGCACAGAGTCTCTAGAGAGTGCTCTCAAGTATTTTGGGGAATCTTAGTCAGCATGCACCAGCCCATGGTTAGCTGGCAACACTCAGAGCTCCCTTAAAGGAAAAAGATTCAAATGTCATTAAACAGCTATTTGGAAGCTGCATAGTTCACTTACTAGTGGGAGCTATCAGCTCTTTCAGGGCTATTTGGAAAACTTGCTTTCTCCATTACAAAGATGAGAAAGATACCAAAGCTGTCTGGACAGAGACAAACTATTTGAGGAATACCGGTATTAATTTAAACAGTGGAAGTGTTAACTGTGGTAGTTATATCACAAGCAAGTTACATCTTTGTTACTCTTGCAGATACAGAGGGCATGAGAGATTTGTTGTCCAATCCAGAGAGGTGGTTGTTTCATCAGAGTTCCCACACTGCCCACAGCTCAGGGGGAAGTCAGTAGTTAATTTGTTCTATCCTGCTACATTAAATCTTGTTATTCCACATCTCTAAACATTGCTTAGGAACCTAAGACCTTGAATGTTTCTCTTGTATTCCTTTCGACTGAATTCCCCTGAAAGCAAGAGTGGACAAATATGTTAACCAACTGCAACAGTAAAGAACAGAATCATATTACCAGCTGAAGGAATGAAAACAATCATTTAAAAAAATTGCAGGTAGATACCCCAGCAAGTTTTAAATGCTATGACACCAGGTGAAACTGTTACACACAGAGCTTGTACAGAATACCAAGGCACTAGAAAATTTTCAGTAAACAGCTGGGCCAGTCAGCCAAAGCACAAGAGCGTTCACATAACCTTGAACTGATACACAACATATTTTATAAGCCTTCTTCTATAGACACACATACACACGAGAGGTCTGAAGAAACCTAAGGTCCTGCAAGTCTGTTCTGAAAAAAACATTGATACAGCTTCTGCTATAAGGAAGATTAATAACCTTGAATTTAAAATGCTAACTCCCTGTTCACATGGCCAGAAGTCTGAAACACCTGAATTTAATTTAAGGAAACTCTGCATTTCATTTTATTGGTATCATTTTTGCCCCATCCCTTTGTATTACAAATCATCAATGTGAAGAGTTCTCCAAGCTGGTGTGGTTATTCCAATGCAGGCCGCGTTAGATCACTGTAATTTACATTAAGAAATTCTCCACATCCACTTTCAGCTGTTTCTCTGGAGAGGAAATCTTGGTGCCATCGCTTTTAAAGCAGCCTCAAGTAACCTACAGGCACACTCACAGGTGGACAAAATAGAGCTGTTTCATCACGCCAACCACAGCGACCTTAGCCCTTCCCCAGGCAATTCCTGCCACATCATACG